AGCCGACCATATAACAAACTCTGTATTTTGAGTGGAAATGTTAGGGGGTCGTCTTATACGCCCAGTCGTCTTATACGCTGGCAAATACGGTATATATATATTTTTAAGATTTTTATTGGGGAATTGGGGGATGGGAACAGTGCTGGGGAATTGGGGAAAGGGGAACAGACATGTTGCTGTCCTTCATATGTGGGATCTGAACCGGGGCCCTCTGGCATCCCAAGCCAGTTCTTAACCATCGCGCCACTCGGCCGGCCGAATCCCTATAACTATTTTGTCACTACCAATTTGTATTTCTTAATCCCTTCACCTTTTGCCTTTCTAACAAGCTCTCAGGTGCTTGCCATGCCGCTGACCACACTTGGAGTAGCAAGGATCTACACGTCGCAATAGGCCACAGACCACAAAAAATGTCTATAAAAATAAAATGAAAAGGAAGTCAAATTTTTCTCAAAAACCAGAATTAGAATTTATGCATATTTCTTGATAGGATTATGGGCTTTTTAACATCTTAGAAATACCTTCATAATGACTTTTCTTTTCCAGTTTAAATTTATATTCCAATTTCTTGGAGTTTTGTAGGGTTTTGTTTAATGAAAAACCCTGATTTTTATCAAAGCTGAGAATCCAAGTACAAGGAAGACTGTTTCAAGTTGCCATCCCCTTTAAGCAGGTCCCCAACCTGCACTCACCCACACATAGCATACCTCTCGCTGTTTAAATCCTAGAGATTAGACAAATGGCAGAGTCAGGTGAGATTTTAGGGGCTGGGCCCCAAAGTTCTTCCAAATGAAAAGGAAAGCTCCACAACAAAATGACACTTTACCATACCACTGGCTTTCATTTCTGGCCTTAGGTGACAAAGTTCCAGCAATGAGGTGATAACTGTTGGATAACATTTTATACAAACTACTGGGTTTCAATTCTTTTACCAGATCCTTTGAATGGCAAGTTCTATTTACTTTCAAAAGTCCACAGAGTAAACAAAGTAAGGTGCTTAGCAAGGCCCTAAACTCTACCGAGGTCCAAGTTCCTGCCCTGCTCTCTTTTATTCACTTCTGATTATCTCTGCTGCACTCAAACATTGGCTAGCTGCCTCTTTTAAAAGGCAGTTACACACTTCCACCCCCACCCCATTCTCTTGGCTAACAGCAATGCCTAACTACAGAACCAACATATCTCTGAGAACATTCCAGCTTACCGGATAAGGTCAGTTTAAAATTCTAGAGAGGGATAACCTGCTCCATTTGTGTTTCCTAAGAGCTCTTCAAAAATAACCCTCCAGCAATCAGCAGAACAAGCCTTTCACCCAGGAGAGAAAACAGTCGATGATTCTGCAATTTACAAACAGTGAGACCTTTATTTAAAGGGTGTCCTCATATTATATTATTTCCAAGGAACGTTTATCTATGTACTCAAGTCAGCACAAGCAGCCCAATGCTTGGAAGAAACAATGCGCACATACATTACAGCTCCATGCAAATGGCTTCTCTGGCTGAGAAGCCTATAAAGTTTTGCTGCCCAGCTTCGGTAGGAGGCCTACCTGTGAAGGGGAATATCCGGACAGTTTTTTCCTGAAGTGGAGCATGTCCTGTCCATAACAGAGCTCAGCAAACTTCCCAGGGAGGCCTGTTACAAAACCATAAAAAGGGGGCAGGACTGACAGGCCCCTGCCCTGGACACCCTTGACGCTAAAAATTCGAATTCTGAGAAATGAACTCTACTATAGACAAGACCAACAGAAAGTTTCCTGTTTCTGTTACCTCCCAAACTGGCTGCCCTCCCAGAGTGGTTTAACTCTGGGTACCAATTGGGCAATGCCAGCCATGGTGCTGGGGCGAAGGACTCAAGGATGCTGGTTCTGTCTCCTAGGTTAATTAAGAGGAACCAAACCTCTGCAGTATAAACTGAAGACTTGTGTGAGCAGATCCGGGGCTCCCTCACTGCATCTAGGCAACATGCCTCCATTCAACAAACATTTATTGAGCGTCTACCATACGCTGGTGACCGGGGAGGATACCACGCCACAGTCCCCAGTGGTGAAAGCAGACAGAGAAGGACCATCAGGAGGGGTGGAGGTTGTGCGGGCCGAAAACCTGCCACAAGTGGCTATGACCCAGGGGACAGCATGACCTTTCAGGCCGGCTCCGCGGACCACCAAGCCCAAAAAATGAAACAGGCTCGCGACCGCGAAGGCGGGAGTGGACAGGTAGGCCCGGGGGCAGGTGTTCAAGTAAGAGGTGCACACCTGAGGTGGCAGGGCTGGAGAGAGCAGAGTCCACAGAGGAAGGGCGAGGGAGGCCCGGGGACCCCGCAAGGGAGAGGGGGCATGGGGGGGGCTGGTCCCGGGAAGCGGGTACAAGGCAGCGGCCAGCCGGGCCTGCGCCCCCCGAGCGGCGCGGGGAAGGAAAGGCGCGCGGCTAGGCCGCCGCCGGCACCTGGGGCCCCGCCCGGCACCTACCACTTGGGCGACCTTGAGGCAGCCGAGCGCACCGCGCAGGTAGTCGGGGTCGCAGCGCAGGCCCGCCAGCCCGCGGCGCTGGCTCACCGGCTCGGTGGTGGGCTGGTACGGGCTGCTGGCGCCCGAGATCATGGAGGTGCTCGAGGCCTCGCCCTCGAAGCCGTCCAGCTCCTCGCCGCTCCGCATGTTGCCGCCCGGCCCGGGCCGCCTCGCGCGGCCGGCCCCCGGCGCCCAGAGCTGGCGGGTTCAGCGGGGCCGCCGCATCGCCGCTGCCGCCTCCTGACTGACCG